CACACTGACTCCCATTCTCCAAGATGCTAGAGAACATGCATGGTGGAGCCCAGACTCCATCCAAGTCTTTTCATTACTTTGACGTCTCTAACTGCTGAGAATCTGAAGCTACGTATAACAGTCTACCGTATCCTGAAGTCTGTTGTTCTCCAGCAGAAAGATAAGGCTTGCCAGCCAAGGTGACGTCATAAGCCTGACCAATAGGATGGGCTCTTGTGCAACCGTCCAACCTGCCGGCCCAGCCAGCGCTGTGCAGCTTCAGAAAATCTAGATGGAGTCATTTCTACAGCGCGTGGAGAGGTGGAAAGTTCACTCCCTTCCCCTCTCCTCACTCACTCATGTGGCCATACTACTGTCACCATACCCAGAACATCTCTGAAGAGTCCAGGATGCTCACGGGCCAACAAGATGACTGACAGGACACAGCCAGCCGCCAAGACCACCGAGGAGTAAATGTGTAGGCTTGCTAATGTTCCTGCGTTCCGTCAGACATAGGCATCACACCATCGACATGCAGACATGCCTCAGACCCACAGAGCGGTGTCTGAGACTTTCACCCTGAGAAGAGAAGCCACCACGTAGGATCAGAGGCACAACGTGTGCACAAGAAAACGCCAGAACACCTTGAGTACTGTGAAACACGAAACACGTTAGCCTCACGCAGCAGCCGCCTACATCCACAGGGGGAGCCTTTTAAGCAGTTCTTTATGCTCAGCTTTCCCACTTTAGAGGGAAGATATTCAAATGTGGTGTCAATTTAAGCCACATACAATTACCACTTGCAAGCCAATCAGCAATGATGAGGCTTATGGGCCACCTGCTGTGTTTGGTCATATAATAAGCAAAGTGTTAATTAGACAGACTATTAACACATCATCCAAAAAAACCCAGCATGCAACTCTTTAATGGCCAAGGATCTGACTCACTTCCCTAGACAGTTGCTTGCAAATTGAAAACAGGGGAAACATTTGCAACCAACACTGACGAGAACTGCACATGATAGACAGCTGAGTTTCCCCAGGAAATGACCCTATCCATGTATTTTTCCAGTTCCTGTGCTTTGTGACATGTACACATGTATGTAAAACAAACAAAAAAAACCTCTTAAAGCCAAGAGCATGATGCAGCTTCACATCCATTGTTCTAACTATACAATGAGGTTTTATGGCAAGCTCAAGGACTCTAGCCCAGTAGGGAAGGAAGCAGGTACTCAGGCAGGTGGCCCTCTCCTACTGGAAGCACCTGACTTGAAGCTTCAGTTAGCAGGATGGGACTACCACAGCTGGACCTCTGTCCACCCGAGAGGTGGGGGAGAACAGTGACCCACCCCATCCTGATTTGACGCAGAAACATAAGCAGCTCCAGGCCCTGCGTGATTCATGAACCCAGCAGCCAACTCTCTTTCTCTCTTCCGACGCTCATATCTGGGGAAGGTGGGTTAACTGTGAAAACCATCAAGTAGGGATTTCTGGAGAGGTAGGAAGTTGAGACAAAAGGATAAAAGTACAAAAGATGGACAAGGGGGCACAGGAAATTGTTCTATTCCCACTGTGTAAATAGAACAATTTAATCAAAAGCAACAATAATTTGTCTAAAATATTCAAAAAGGAGGCTCAGTCCCTTACACTGCTGAATAAATATGTGGCCAGAATAGCATAGAATGAGTCCATTATAATACCTCCTGGGAATGCTGCTGACTGGACTCCTCAGTGGGAAGCTGGAAGTGTGTGTGTGTGTGTGTGTGTGTGTGTGTGTGTGTGTGGCAGCAAGCATTCCCACTATTTAAATATTCCCAATCCATCTCTTCAGGAAAGGTCCTGCAAAATAACAGCTACGTCAAAGCACTGATGCCTAAAAGCTTGTAAAGAAAACATCAATTTTCTGTGTGCAGAGCTCTTCAGTCACCTGACTTCAAAGACCTGCAGATTTCCTCTTCCCCCTGGCTGCAGGAAATGCGTTTGTTGTATCAGGGAGGTCGTCATCATCCAATGTGAAATGGAAGGGAGGTCACGAGCATCTAGTGAGGGATGGAAGGGAGGTCACGAGCATCCAGTGAGGGAAGGGAGGTCACAACCATCCAATGAGGGATGGAAGGGAGGTCGCCAGCATCCAGTGTGGGATGGAAGGGAGATCATGAGCATCCAGTGTGGGATGGAAGGGAGGTCACAGCCATCCAGTGTGGGATGGAAGGGAGGTCACGACCATCCAGTGAAGGATGGAAGGGAGGTCACGGCCATCCAGTGAGGGAAGGGAGGTCACAACCATCCAATGAGGGATGGAAGGGAGGTCACGACCATCCAGTGTGGGATGGAAGGGAGGTCACAGCCATCCAGTGTGGGATGGAAGGGAGGTCGCCAGCATCCAGTGTGGGATGGAAGGGAGATCATGAGCATCCAGTGTGAGATGGAAGGGAGGTCACAGCCATCCAGTGAGGGATGGAAGGGAGGTCACGACCATCCAGTGAGGGATGGAAGGGAGGTCACGGCCATCCAGTGTGGGATGGAAGGGAGATCATGAGCATCCAGTGTGGGATGGAAGGGAGGTCACCAGCATCCAGTGAGAGATGGAAGGGAGGTCATGAGCATCCAGTGTGGGATGGAAGGGAGGTCACAACCATCCAGTGTGGGATGGAAGGGGGGTCACGACCATCCAGTGAGGGAAGGGAGGTCACGGCCATCCAGTGTGGGATGGAAGGGAGGTCACAACCATCCAGTGTGGGATGGAAGGGAGGTCACGACCATCCAGTGTGGGATGGAAGGAAGGTTGCCAGCATCCAGTGTGGGATGGAAGATGCCTCCAAACTGATCTTGGTAATCACTTACCAGGAAGAGCCATACTTCTAGAAGTTTGGCACATTAATGGGCTCTCCCAATACTCACCTGGGTGACTGATCTGGCCCAGGTCTTATAGACACTTTCCAGAACATTCCATTTAGTCCCCTGTTTTTTCAGGAAGTAGGCTACAGTCAGGATCCTAAGCTGTTTTAGAAGCGCACTCAAGATCAAGGCTAAGAGAAAATTAGCAGAACGGCAGTTCACAGGAAGCATCTCCCCCTACCCCGCCCCCCGCAGAGGCAGTCTGAATCAATATTTGCTAATTTGTGGGGTTGTGGGTGCAAATTATCCCTTCCTTGCTATAGCTCTGATTTTAGATGCTGCTCTCTGGGGAGCACACAGATATAAGAGCGTGAACACAAGCCGCCAACACTCATACCAGCGTGCCTTCTAGACAAGCTCTGCCTTTGCCACGTGTTGTTAAACATTTGCATCTAAGATACCTCTGACCATGGCAGAACAAGGGAGTTATTACAGCATGGAAAATCTCTCTCACACACACAGGATTGACGAAGCCCCTCTGTGGAGTGTGGGTGTAGAAGGTGTGCCGCTGACACCTACACCGGCAGCTTTGGGTCCCACCAATCACATGAGGTGTCTTGTTCAAGACAAAATACGTTTGCTCGAACATTGAGTGAAGTCCAAACGAACAAAAATCCATGCAAAGAGCTTATGATTCTCTTTAAAATACCCGCCTATCCCAGCATGCTCGCCCTTCCCGGGTGACCACTGGAAGCTCATTGCCCCGTGACTTGAACGGTTCTCCTTTTTCCGTGGACCTTCGCAAATGTAAACACTGCATGCAGGGAGATGGTCACGCGTGAGCTAGAAAAGTTCACAGGCCAAAAGCTCACGTTACATTTGTTTTTTACATAAATTACAGGCTTCATAGCAGGCCCCGGTTTGGCACTGACACAACATCCTTTTTGATTAAAAAAAAAAAAAGTGTCTTGCTTTTGTTTCCTACCTCCTAAAATATATCCAAGTCTTAAGTTGAATCATTATTCTTCTGAGATAGGACAATTTAGTCTTTTCACCACATTTTCTATGGCAAGTATAAAGAAATATGGACTTGTCATGAAAATTACATTAGTAAGTCAAGTGGTAAGGATTCTAACTCTAAAGTAGCATTACCCTGCGGAGTAATACTTGGGGAAAATGAGCATTAAACTTTTGTTAGGACAAGTTTAATAAAAAAAAAAAAGTATGTATGTACATACAAGACAGCATTTCTCTAGGCACACATATTCTTTCATGTGTTTCATTGTCTTCAGCCTGTCTGAGTCAAATGTCTCTCTTGATTTCTCCAAATAGCATGGATATTACCCAGGGTCTAATGAAATTTTGTCCAGCTTTCAATCCCGCCAAAGTTACTGGATGACTGGCTTCATAGGTTCTTGGGAGGCATAGCTAATAGATATCGCCAAGAACATGCTGAAAGTTCTAACATACAGTCTTCTTCCCCAGAATTCTCCCCCCCTGGTGCCTCTGCAGATTGTTGGTCCTTGGCAGATCCCTGGGCATTGCTTAGTTCGCTCTAAACATTCCAGTTGACAGGCTTGTTTCAAAGTAGAATCACTGCTGATCTCCTGAGATGAACATGATGGGCCTCACGTTCCGAGACAGACCTCTGACCACCCACCCATAAAGACAGAATGAAAAGCCACCTCCTCTGCCCCACTCAGAAGAGGTGCCTGTCCATGAAGGTTTGATGGAATAAAATCCACTATTCTGTGCCACGGTTGTATTTTAAAACACGCAGGCGGGACTATTACCTCTCCTCTCAAAGCTGAAGGGAAAAGAAGAACTTTTTCCCTAAGTTAAGTGACTTTAAAACGTAGAGTTCTGTGGCATGCCTTTAATCCCAGCACTCGGGAGACAGAGACAAGTGGACCTCAGTGAGTCCAAGGCCAGCCTGGTCTACAAAGTGAGTTCCAGGACAGCCAGGACAATCCCACAGCAAAACCTGTCTCAAAAAGAAAATATGTAGATTTCAAATATTCTTTACTGCTTTACAGAACTGGCCTTGTCCCATGGGATCTGAACTTATTTGTAGAATGCTACTGAATTCTCACTCCTTGAGACACATCAACTGTACAGAATTTTCTTTTGTTTCAGAAATATCATTTTATAATGAAGCTAACTGAACTTCAGTGGACCCACGAGTTCCTCAACAATCAAAGTACCTTAGCAGCTGTGGAATGTATTTAGAATGATATGGATTGTGGTCAGGAGAACGAGCTGCCGTGTTTCGTGATCATCCACTGCATCCTCTTCTCTCTACCCACATGGGAGCTGGGGGGCAGGTGGTCCCAGTGCGCCTTCACACGTGGGTGCAGTTGGTGGATGGCGGGGTGTCTATTCGGCTCTTGTTTTCTTTAGTGTCGCTGGGGACCGATTCGTTGCAAATGTGGCACTTGAACACTTGCTTGTACGCCTTCCGGAAGTTTTCTGAGAGGAAGGCATATATGATGGGGTTCACCGAAGAGTTGCTGTATGCCAGGCAGTGGGCAGTGATCCTTAAGAAGAAGGAAGCTTGGGTCAGCGGGAATGCCCCGAACTCAGCCCAGAGGTGGACGACATGATGGGGCAGCCAGGATATGCCAAAAACCACAACCACCACGAGGACAGTCTGCGCAGTCTGGAAGAGAGGGGAGCAATGGCAGAGTGTTGGAGAGGGAACAGGAGTTTCTTGAACACACCAGTTACATCAGAAGAACACAGCACTGTAAAACATACCCCAATAGCATACGTATGTACCTCGATGGGATCAAACAAAAGTGTTAAATTTGACCTCACATAGTATCTCTCTGTTCATCATCTCAGGACCCAGCTGTGACCTCACAGGGTCCTGACTCCTAAGCCTGCATTCAGTGTGTGAGGACGTGATAAACGTGAGATTAGAAATGGATCGAGATTAAAGACTGTCACTTCAACTAGCAGAATTCTACCAGCAGCCAAAAGATCCAGAGCAGGAGGAACCAGAGCTCTGAACCAGTGTGACCCAGACACAAGACCCTGATTCAATGAAAACAAAACAACACCACAGCATGCCTCTTCCAGTGTGTGCACACCAAGTTCCATCGAGAGCCCGGAGCTCAGACAAACGCTGCACACAAACATGTGGGAGATGCTGGTGTCTCCTCAGTAAGCATTGCTGAGGACAAGATGGAGACTGGGGAGCTAACATTCCCACGGAGTTATTCTTAGTGCAGTCTGTAGGCCAACCATGCCCATTGCTTGCTAGCATAGCTTTGACCTTTCTCTTGTGGCTCCTATTTCAAAAAGACTGAGAAATTTGGGGCTGGGGTCTCCATGTTCTCTAATGATCCCCAATGGAGGAAGCTGTCATAGGCTTGTGATCTCAACACGAGGGAACACATAGGGACTCAGCCTTGCCCTGTGTATATGGCCAAGGGCTCCCTACTGCCCACCAACCTAGGAAGCAGGGCAAATCTCAGAAGACCTTTTGTAAGGGACACACACATGCTGACAGGGATGTCATACATGGCAGGACTTCCTCTTCTGCTTCTCATGACAGGGTATCCTATTGCTCCAGAATGTCAAGTCTGAAATACAGTGCACAGTGCCAACTCCTCCAGGACTGTTTCCTGGCAGCAGGCTATAACAACAGTAGACGTTTATCACGGAGGATGGTTGGAACCCAACAGGTAATGAGAGACCAGACTCTGACCTAGAAGGCAGAGACAGGGACTTGCTGGGTCTCGGGTCAAGAATAGCAAACACTAGGAGGCGTGAGCTATAGGAGAGGAAAGCTAAATTCACTAAAGAGGCACCATGGATTTTGCAAGACTCACTGGCCAGATGATGGTCTGTCCATCATCTTTGAAAGACGACAAAACCTCCCCAAGACTTGATTTCCTCATGAACAAAGAAAATTAACCAACAAAATGATTCCCGGATTGTGGCTGGACTATGTGAGCACTAAACCAGCTCAGCTATTAAAAACCCACAGGCAGGTGTTACAAAGTAAAAGCTTACCTATTAAGTCCACTTACTGCCTGGGCCACAGAGCAAACGTAATTAGCTCACACGTATTAAGGAAGTGTTTGCTACCAATCCGTTTGCCCATTAGTATATGAAAACTGCCATACTCTGGCGCTTTCATCAAACAATCTAGAAAAGATGTCCACAGTACAGGAGAACACAGCCTCCTCCATCTAAGATGATCAGGCCGTCTCTCTATAAAAGTACCACCCTGTCGATATTCCATGCCTTCTTTTAGGGAACATGGGCTAAGTGAAGAACTAAGATCAGATCTACCCATTGGCAGCTTACGGGGAAGATTCATATCTTATCTGAAATGCAAATGGCTGTGTACCCTGAGTATGCAATATTTTTATGGCAGCCGTTTCTCTGGGTATTTGTGATTCATCCAAACATAACCTCTAAATGTTTGCAAGCCCTCTGCTCTTCTCAGAAACATGCATATGAGCCCGTGTGTGTGTGTGTGTGTGTGTGTGTGTGTGTGTGTGGTCACCTGGCAGTGCTGAATGCAAGTGCCTGATAATTGATGATACAAATATTATAAACAAATACTAGATGTAAATTCATATGAACTATCATCTACCTACGACTGCTTCTATGAGAGCTTACTAGAATGCTTCTGAGTCCCACAGTGGTCCAGCTGGGCGTCTCAGAGAAGATACTCTCTCCTATCTGTCTCTTTAAGTACCAAGGTCCACATGAGTGGATGTTCTTAGCTGTCTCGCATGTGTGTGTTTTTCCCAGTTTTCTTCTTCTTCTTCTTCTTCTTCTTCTTCTTCTTCTTCTTCTTCTTCTTCTTCTTCTTCTTCTTCTTCTTCTTCTTCTTCTTCTTCCTCTTTCTCTTCTTCTTCCTCCTCTTCTTTCCCCCCTCCTTCTCCTACTACTTCTGCTTCTTCTTTATTTTTTATTTTTTTCTTTATTTTCAACAAACTCTTTCAACAAATTCTAGTGTATCTGAAAAGAGGGGAATTTAGCACCAGAAACTCTGCCCTGATTAGAAACTGTCCTTCTTGATGGATGATGGTTCCTCAAGTATGTAACTCATAAAGCAATATGCCTAGAATACATAATCTCAAAATTAAAGATCTGTTCAGAATAATGCATGTGTTCTAATCCAAGTCTCAGGACTGTGGTAGATCAGTGTGCCCAAGAGCATTCTGGGTCCTGTCATTTTGACTGACTCAGTGGATTATTAGTTACCTTGGAATCTGCCTCTTTGCAAAGCTCGGGAGCTTTAATGATTCCCTGATGAACTGCATAAAAGCCATAATAAAACTGGGGTTATCTCGGGGACCTTAAGTGAAAGCAATTAAAAAGGTTTCCCTTGATACTGGCAGCTGCCATAGCAGAAGCATTTCTACTCATTGACAAGGTGAGAGAAGCTGCCTCTGCTGTATCCCTCTAAATATCAGCGTGTAGCCTGGACTCCCCTGCGTGGGACATGCTAGGCTGTAACAGAGATGCGGCTCTGCAGGTTTTTAAAGTTCCTTTCTAACCTTGTGTTCCTGTTTCTTGCAAAACCATTTGTGCTTACAGAGCTGGTGTGATACTCAGCATATACATTACTGCCACCTTTCATTTGTTCGGAGCACAGAAACCCTGACTGCCTCTGACAGAGAAGCAGTACAGACACTGGAGTTTATTCTTTTTTGGTGTGCCTTCTCTTACACTGGACTTCTTCCTTACACTGGACTCATCTAAAAAAATATATGTATTAGTCTGACCTTGAGTAGCAAGCGGCTCTCTTCAAGCAGCTGGAGACATCTGCCTTTTCTTCAGAGAGTCTCACTCGCAGTGTGGCTAATAGAATTTGGCTGGGGAAGAAAAGGGAGCACAAAGGGAGGACATGAAAGCCCCATGCCAGCTGTGCCAGCTGTGTGAAGGACAGCCAGAAAGCTTGCTGGAAAAGTCAGAAAACACAAAGTCGTCACAAAAATGCATCTATTGTAAGAGCTCAGAAGTTCATAGGGCACCAGTGGCCTTTGACCAGCTTTCCTTCAGAAGCAGCTGCCCAATGGGCTGTCTCATCCATTCTACCATCCTTCCCGCAGCCCCCAAGGTTCCTGTCTCAGATGAGCTAGCCTCAAGCCAGAAGCATCTTCTGCCCAGCAGTGCTTCAGCAAAACCCTTAATAGGTTATTAAGCTTTTAATTATTTCTGCAGGGCTGGAGAGATGGCTCAGTGATTAAGAGCACAGACAATTCTTCTAGAGAATCTATGATCAATTCCAGTACCTACATGATAGCTCACAACTCTCTGTCCAGTCCCAAGAGAACCTAAACCCTCTTCTGGCCTCCAAATGCACTGCACACATATGCCACACAGATACACATGCAGGCAAAAATGCTTGTACATTATATATACATATATATATATATAAAATAAAATTTAAATGGCAATTGTTTCTGAAAAGAAATCCTACCTTCTTCCTGCATTTTCTGCCACATGTGGCTAACTACACAATGTACCCATCACAAAGGGCTGGACTAGACCTTCAAAACTGTATGGACTTCATGCAGAAAGTTCTGTCTGGTGATGTAAATGTGTACATCCCCCATACTCATGGTTTGTAATCTGATCAGGAAGATGACAGTATCTAGGGGTAAGCCATTGAGGGAGGATGAGGCTATGAAGGAAGAGCCCTCCAGAGTGGGGTCACTGTGCTTATGAAAGAGCCCAGAGAGCTGCCCACTCTATCCAGCATGTGTGATTGCAGAGAGAAGGCTGGGGTCAACAATCTACCAGCACTTGACCTTGGTCCTCCAGCCTTCAGAGCTATAGGAAACAGATGTCTACCGTCGAGGAGCTGCACACTGGGATATTTTGTTCTTGTCACATTAACTGATGAGTACAGCACACCGACACAAAACTGCTCAGCCGCCGAGAAGGCCCAGAACTAGATGATGTCAGAATGAGCATACTACCAAAATCTCTGCTCCACTGGCCTGCTCACCCATCAATCCGTTACCGTGGTTGGAACGTGCAGTGCCCTCTAACCAAGGCTCACAGGTTTGAAGACTTGGCCCATGAGGTAGGGCCTACCTGCAAGAAGCCAATCACTGGGGGCCAACCTTGAGGTCTCTCAGCTCAGCCCATTTTCTATACTTCTGATTTCTGAACGATAACACCATGTGACCAGTTGCCTGGTGCTTCCGCCACCATGCCTCCTCTACCATGTCGGGTTGTTCCCTCTTGAACTCTCAAGCCAAACAATCCTTCCTCCCATAAATGGCTTCTTTTGGGGTATTTGATGATAGTAACAAGGTGAGAGACACAGCCATTGGCCATTGAGATGTGCATTACATCAGTCTGCATCCGAGTCCCACGCCATCCCTCATACAGCAAGCACTGAGCATCTGAGTCCTGGAGACCTGTACCCAGATCTGGAAAGGGTCCCCAGCAGGACTTCTGTAATGGAGTGCTGGTCTGTGCTGCTCTCGGCTGGAAAGGCTCTTTTCTACCTCAGTCTCTCTCATTGCCCCTCTGCCCCTTCTCCTCGTCACCTTGCTTCCCTCCCGCCCTCTCTTTTCCTCCCCCTCCCAGGCATCTCTTCTTTCCTGCCTCTTTCTTACACACACAGCCCACAGTCATGTGTGTTTGTTCTGTGCAAACAAAAAGGCAATCAAATCTGTCAGAGGAGCCCTGACACCTGTTCAGTGGCGGCGAGGGTTAGAGTCTGAGAAAGAAGGAGAAACGTCTCCCTTTCCAGTGCTCAAACTTTCTTCCTCATATAGTGGGAATGAGCAGAAGGAAATTTTACACAAATAGGTATTCATTTTACATGTACAATCTCATGGTACATGGCACACGCTCACAAAACAATCATTATGTTCTTCCTGATAAAATAAAAGTGAGGTTTTCCGCATCTTCTCTTACAGGCATTGCATCATCCTTTAAACACATTGTTCTTTCTGGGACCTTTTCAGCTTCTTACCAGCATCTCTTCAAAGACAAAGATGAGATTTAGCAAATGCTTTTTAAGAAGAGTCGTTGCAACCTCTTAGTTAGAATAAACTTGCTTTGATTTTGTGGCAGTAGGAATTAACTCTCAGCCTCCCGCGTGCTGAGGAATAGCTCTACAGTGAAAATGGCAACCCGGCCCTTTTCCGGTTACTTTGTATTTTTAGACAAACTGTGTCATATTAACTGACTCAGATTTGCCTTGAACTCCAGATTTGGTATCCTCCTGTGTCAACTCTCCAAGTAGCTGAGATTAGAGGATTTCACCACCTGGCTTAAATCCTTCAAATGAATACTAATTATTTTGCATATTTGGTAAGTATCTTCTTCCCTGTTGAATCCCAATAAGCCCCCTCTTCTCTAGTTTGTCTGTGTGTGTGTCTTTGCACACAAACATGCACACACAAACGTAGGTCATAGCTGTGAGCACATGTTTGTGGAAGCCAGAGGACAACAGTGGGTATCTTTCCTCAGGAACAATCCACCTTGGTTTTTTCTTAGGCAGGGTCTCTCACTTGCCTGTAGTTTTCTGACTAGGCTGGACTGCTAGACAGTGACCTCCAAGGATCTGCCTGTCTCTCCCTTGCCAGTTCTGGGATTACAAGGGCACACCAACTTTTCTTTTTCTATTCTCTTCTCCTCTTTTTCCTTTTTTTAAAAGATTATTTATTTATGTGTATGACTGCTCTATCTGCATATATGACTGTATGCCAGAAGAGGGCATCAGATCCCACTATAAATGGTTGTGAGTCACCATGTGATTGCTGAGAGTTGAACTCAGGACCTCTGAAAGAACAGCTAGCGTGCTTTTAACCACTGAGCCATCTCTCCATCCCTCTTCCTTTCCTTTTTAAATGTGGATTCTGGAGATCACACTCGGTGTCTCCTGCTTACGTGTACGTCACGCATTTTATCGACTGTGCTATCTCTCCTGAAGTTTCTTACTCTCCAAACACTCATCCTACTGAACATCTTTGGACAACCATGTTTTTCTCTTGATGCTGACCCCCCCAAAGGAAGCTAATTCCTTTTAGAAACCAGAGGTTGTCTTGTTCCCACACAGTGCCTACACTCCATGAAGAGCCTGTCCCGGAGAAATTACACAAAGTCCTTAATTGTCCTAAAGAACTCATTTTCCTGGAGGTGAGAAGTGGTGCTTAAAGGAGAAACCAATAGATTAAGAGCATGTGGGAACTGTTAAAACACAGAACTGGGAGCAGAGGAGACCGCACTATTCAGGGCTGACTCCTGTCGTGGAAATCATACTTCATCTACTGTTTTAAAGAAAGATCTGCAAGCTTAAAACTAAACCCACCTAATAACTGCAGGGAGGGAAGGGAGGGCTGGGGCAGAAGGCTGAGGCAGTCATTTAGGCAGCTGGTAAGTGTGTGTGTGTGTGTGTGTGTGTGTGTGTGTGTGTGTGATGGTATCCCAAATGCAAGAGGAAAAGAGTCTCTTTGGGAGGCAGAAGCAGGAGGATCACTGAAAGGTCAAAAACAGCTGTTCTACATCACAGGCTCCAGGAGAACTAGAGCTGCTCTGCAAGGCTCCGTCTATAAACTTGCGGGGTTGCCTTAGGGGAGTGCGACCTCTCCACACTGATGAGGATAAACAGGGAAGTCAGAGCAGGTTGTTCTTAAGGCTAAACTTTAAGAGAAAATAGGATTATCTGAATGATTATTTACATAATATATATATAATTGATTAGAGTGAGTATTTAGAACGAAAAACAAGGTATTTTAGGATATTATTGGTAACGTGTGTGGGCTAAAATGTCTGGTTATGTTCCCTCTAATCATATTGTCTAATAATTTCATTTCACTGCCTAAACCTAGAAATCACATGGGTTTCATTGAGTAAAAGATAAATTAATCCTGGTGTGTAAAACAGCGTTTCCTCGATGACTAGAAATACACTGAATCCCAGGAAGTTAGAAGCTCTCTCATGACTCAGAAGACAGCATTAAGTGGGATTCCCTAGATGAGAAAAATAGTTAAGGAGGGGTAGGAGCCCAGCAATTTTTCTTTCTGTCCCTTCTGTACCAAAATCAGCCCAAGTCTAGGGAAGCGATAAGGTGACTCTTGTGCCTGAAGAGAACAACATACCAATGCTCTCACAGTTGAGAATCCAGTTGATAGTTTTGAATCACTCCTAAGATGTTGGATGCTAAACATGCAAATTACATCACGAGCCCCTCTGAGCCCTTTCTGTGCTCACCTCTGGAAGTCTGTCTTTCCTGGCCTCCCCACCCTGCCCAATGCAGACGAATGGTGTTTAGCGGCCGCACAGGTCCCTGGCCTAGCTTCTGCTCCACCCAAACCCTGAACCATTACAGCTCACAAAAGTGTTCATCTCAGATAGCTGGCTTTCCACCTGTGAACGGAGGTGAGGATAATTTAAAACAAAAACAAGCTGAGCTCTCTGAAATCGACAGACACAGCATCTGTTTGTGAATATTACCTTTTTCTTGGATGCTTCTGACTTTTTCGACATGTTCTTCAACTTTTTATGCAGATGATTAAGGACCTGCAAAATGCAGACAGATTAAAACGGTTTACTTCATGCTGTCTTACACATTGTCTCCTTTTCAGTGGCAACCACTGAACATTCCGATATGATAATACTATTGTTTATAAAGCATTAAGAATAGAAATGCATCTTAGATCAAAACAACGCTGAATCAAAGCCACTGGGTATGTTCAGAGGTGTCCCTGGAAGAGAGACCACACCCAGACATGGATAGAACCAGAACTGCAGAGAATGCTAACACACTCAGAGTTTCTTGGAGAAAGACCCTCACCTGGGGTGGGGGTGGGGCTTACTCATGCAATCCACTGCTCTACTTGCTTTGGTTCTTTCTGCCTAAAAGCACCAGGTCCTGCTATACATGGGATGCAACATCAGTGCAGAGACACACTGGAAACTAGAGACCCAGGCTGTGGGAGTTCATGATCCAGTGGAGAAAGCCAAGTGAACAAAGAGGAGAACACAACCTGACATTTGCTTGGTGTGGCGCCCCAGACCTGCACTAGTTACTGTGATTGCCATGGACCCCACCCATTACAAATCTCTCAGAGCAAAGAGCAAGCCAGCAGCGCTCCTTTCTCTTTTAATTCAAACACCGTGTGGGCTTCAGACACTCCCTTTTAGGAATTCGGCATCATCGGTGGCTGCAGGTTTTGCTCTAACCACACGTGTCCAGGAGATAAGCTAGCTTTAATACATTGAGAAGCCATCCTGTTCTCTTGCTACTGTTGTATTTGGGAGATATGATTTGAATATTGTTGTTGCTATTATTTGTAGGAATTCACAATCTGAACTTGGTCCACTTGCTCCATGGTGCCTACCCTGCAGAGCTGGTCCTAGGTTTGTTTTCTCTGTTCTGATGGAGACCCTGAAATAAATGGCAAAGCATTTGAAATGGGCTGCGGATTTCTGAAGAGGCTCTCAGGACACAGAGCCACTTGAATATTCCCCTCCAACACCGCAGCACGGAAATAATTTAATTGAATTGGCCTTCCAGCTGAAGCCTGCTCCAATCCGCTGGAAGTAGCACCATCCGTCAGGTCCTAATTGAGAAACCTCAGGATTCATTTACCAGCCTCCCCTCCCCTAGCATCCAGAGCAGGCAACCTAGCAGCCATCCCCGGGTGTGAATCTCTGTCTTCCTGCCCTACAGAGACACTTCTCACTGCTGAAAAAAACCTCAGTGTCTCTCAGCCACACAAGTCTTTGCTGGCGACCGGAGCAAGTGAACAGCTCGCCGAGACACTGACGGTGAAGTAGCTCTGTTCTGCCCACAGAAAATACGTAGAAGGCAGTGAGCGAGAAGTTTGCAATAGCCACAGTGAGAAAAACTTGTAAGAGGAAGGTGAGGGCTGGAGGCAGGAGGCCGCTGTTGGAGTCAGGACTAGGGAGCTAGCTGGCAGCAGCTGGCAAGTTTGTAAATTTCCATATATAACAGCAGCAACAATATTCACATTCATCCTCCCGGACATGAGAAGAGAACAGAATGGCTTCTAAGCAACTACTCTAGCTGGAAACATCTTTTGCAAAGATGCTAATATTTGCAAGCTTATTAAAGCTAGCTTATCTCTCTGAGTTTTGCTAAGTGCAAAAACCGCAAGGTAGTTATACATCACCAGGATGGTGAATTCCTAATGGAAGTTGTCTGAAGACTGCACATCACTAGGGATCACAGAGGGTGGGAAAGGGATACAGGAGACGCCCCCCCCCCCCCACACACACACACAAATCATGACAGGAGCATCAGTAGCCTTCTTCTTGATGTTACTCGGGTTTACACAGCCGGGCTAACTAAATTGGGTCCCGGCTCGTCAATTTTGCAGCACTGAATTTGCTAAACAGTCTACAGAGATGATTCTAGATATATTTTTCTTAGCTCTGCTTCTCTTCTATACCTCATTCTATGAGCACAAAAAAAAAAGCGCACTGTGACAGATCTTAAGGTCCTGCCATTGAGGAAGAGAATATAGATGCTGGGATCCATTATGGTTTCATCTTCCTTGAGACAGTGAGCATACCAGGGGTGTGTCCTCACTTTGGGCCTAGGATGGTTGTAAGCAGAGTGCACGCTGAGGGAAGAGAGTGGCAGGCAGGAGCCCTGCAGTGCAGAGAGGAACCATCTTCAGGAACACAGGCTGCTCCAGGGTCTTTCAGATGCAAAGAACCGTCTTGCTAAACATGGAGGGAAAGATCATCTCTGGGATGCAACTCATTCATTGATTTTAAAAAAGAAAAACCCAAAACACTTGGTAATTTCAAGTGGGATTTTGGCCATCTGTGGTTCCTCCCTTTGGCCTTCAGCCCCAGTCCTTGATCATACACAGCCAGCTCCGAACCTAACACTGAAGTTCCGGGTCATGAGCCAGGCTCATCCTTAGTGCTAGACAGAAAACAGCAATGCCTGGTGAGTTATCTCCTGCTGCCTGGGGCCTGGGATAAATTTGCAAGTATTAACATTGCCTCAGAAGATGTTTCTAGCTAGAATACTTGCGGAGAAGCCAACTTTTTCTGGATGAAAAAGATTCAAATGATCATCTATTAATTAATTCTTAAACTTTGTCTTCTGTAGGACTTTGGTAGACTCTTTACTGACAGCCTGTTTAGTCCTAAAAGCTCATTTTTTCATTTCCACAAAGGTTGAAATGATTTCCGCCCCCTTAGGGACTTTAGGGAAAAATGAAGGAAGCACATGTTTCCTTTTCAAGAAGCAACTAGGAATTTCAGAGACCAATATTTTCGGTAGGGCTCTAGTTCCCATCCCCTTGTCCTCCAGAGACCAATTACTTGTCACCTCCTGAAACCTTCCTCAGTCATTTACCAGTCTACTGTCTGGTCAGTTGCTGCCTCCCTCTGGAAGTCCCCTTTCTTGTTAATAAAATAGAGGTGACAGTTCCCACCCAGAGGCTCACAGGACAAGTTAGTGGGTGTGTATCCACATCCCACACAGCTCACTGTGCACAGCAGCCTTTGCTTTGCATTTGAAAAGACCAAATGAATAAACCACTACTATCAAATAGCTAGGCTGGAGTAGCGGCTTTGGACACAGTGCACTCATTCGGGTAATATAGCTGTTCAAAGGACACACCACTCATAGAGGTGTGGGGAAGATGGCTTCTTTTAAACGTGTTTTTCTTTCTAGGGGAGATTCATCTTGTGAGTGGAATGTAAGAAACCATTGCTTTTCGAGACAGGTTATGTTATGTATGGTCCTACTGTCACAGCCCAAAAGACTGGGAGTCGGGGAAGGATAAAGTTGCGTGGAAACTTTAGAACTTGCCCTGAGGGATTTTTTTTTCCCTTCCTGGTTCTGACAGTACCCTAAAAGGAAACGTGACACTGAGGCAACCCCGAGAGCCACATCAAGTGGCTACTAAAAATACACTCTGGATTAATGGAACATCAAGCAGTACCTAAATAGTCTAAGACTTTTGATTAACATAAATGCCCATTGCTCTGTAATTCCTTAGGAGCTGTGAGCCCCAGGACCTTCCAAGTACATCAAGACAAGATAAGCAGGCAGCTCCCCCAGCTGTGTGTTCTAACCGTCCCTCTCCAGAGTGAGCTCACCACCTGAATCCCTAACACTGTCCCTACACCCCCTACACCCTTGCCTGGAGACAGCACCTGTCCTTCCACCCACGGTCCCCTGGGGACTTCAGTCAAGTCTCTTTGGAGAAGTAGGGCCTCCCGCTTGGAATTTAGAACGCTAAGCTAAAATCCAAAACCCTGGCATGCTGAGCAGAGTCTTACAGAGCCTGGACTCTGAAAATTTACTGAGGTGTAGGAGCCAAAGGAACTAAGTGGGAAGATTACTGTTCCAAGGGCCTTATCAGCAGGTCTCAGCAAAGAACTAAGAGGGGGCAACTAGAGCCCCTGCTGGCTCTTGGAGGAAGCACAGGCTCCCTGCAGCCCCCTTTGTCCAGTTGTATTAGTTTCTGGGAGTCCTCCAATCTTGTTTAAAACCCGCTGAAACTGAGGTGGGGTTAGCCCTTTGAGCAGATCCTGGACACATAACTACAGCCTCTCTATGCCCTGTCAGGCGTTTGGAGGCAGAGCTGCAGCGCCTTTGAAGAAAAACGGGGAAGGAAATGTCTCTACCCAACTTCTAGACAGGAACCACAAACTCTCCCCAGCACCTCTCAAACTCGAAGTTAACTTTCTTGAGCCACAAATCATGTGGGAGCAAGCTGTGAGACAAAGTAGAGTGGAGAGGGAAAGAGAGCAGAGAAGCTAGCTCAGTCAAGGGACAAGAAGAGCTGCCTGAGAGCCGCCCAGACGGCGCTTCCCACTCACCTTGGCATAGCAAAAGCAGATCAGCAGTAAAGGCAGAAGGTAGCCAAAGACGAAAGTGCACACCACATAAGCCTTCTTGTGGAGTTGGTTGGGCCAAAGCTCCCAGCAGAAGGTTTGGTTGCTGTCCCGATGGTAGAGGCGCTGGTGGTAGGCCACTGGCGAGGCCATGGCAATGGACAGCGCCCAGATGAAGCCCACGCCCAGCAGCGCATTGCGGGACACCCTGAGAGAGGAGGAGCGCCGCGAGTGCACAATGGCCACGTAGCGGTCCACAGACATTGCGGCCAAGGTGAAGATGCTCACGAGCATGGAGACGGTGAAGAAGTAGTGTATAAACTTGCAGATGAAGGCGCCCAGCACCCAGGTGGGCAGTGCGTACACGGTGGCCTGGAAGGGGATGCAAAAGAGCAAGTAGGCCAGGTCTGCGATGCTCAGGTTGAGAATGAACAGGTTGGTGGTGCTGCGCGGCTTGCCAGGTTTGCTGCGCGCCAGCACAGTGATCACCAGGCTGTTGCCCAGCACGCCCATCGCGAAAATCAGGCCAAACACCACCAACGTGATGAAGTTCTCCACACCGATGCCGAACAGCGGCCTGGACTCCTCAGCGGGAGCCTCTGGATCGCTCCCGTTCCCCGTGCTGAGGTTCAAGGTAGCCAGTTCCATCACTTACGGGACACCCCTCGGTGTCTGTGCAACGGAGCGCGCTGGGAAGGTGTGCCAGGCGGGGAAAGCGGGCTCTGGTGGCAGCCAATGATCGCCAACTGGCCCAGCACAAGGCAAGGAGAGCGGGTATCTCCAGCAGGAACCTCCCTCAGCCGGCAGGAGAGCAGGGGGCAGCGTCCGGTAGTGCCTGGTCGAACTGTCCCCTACGCCCGGCCTGGCTAAAGAGGGGGCGGTGCTGCAAGTCCGGAGTCGAGCCTTCCCAGGCGGGGGCGATGGGCTCCAGAACACAAGCGACTCCGATCGCTGGCAGTCTACAAGCTGGGCTGGTGGGACTCACGATCTGCAGGTGGAGAATCTTCTGAGCCTTACCAATAGGTTCTAATCCCTTGCCGGCCGTATCCTCTGGCTCCCGCAGTGCCTTGGGGTCGCACCTGTTGCTCTGAGCCTCTTCTTCCAGCGGAGCTCCCAGAGCTCTGTGCTACACACCTTCAGTAGTGGAGAAAGTGCCGAGCTTTCCACACTAACAGCCACCTCCCTGACGCGCTGGCGCTGGCTCTGCGGCTCCCTCCTGCCTTCTCCCTGGTCCTCTGCAGGGCAAACCTCACTCGGGGGGTTCCCAGTGGTGGGCAGAGTTTCTACTGCGCGGGAGAGACAGCGAGGACTCAGCTGTGTCCCCTCTTTGCCTCCCGGGTCCAGTCTGAAAAATCACAGCTTGCTCTCTGAGCCTGGGCGCCCTCACCCGGATGGGTAGCACCCCACCTCCTTGCTGGAACTGGGGTACTGCTCTCAATGCAGTCCTCCTGGTCCCACGAAGGCGAGACTGTTGGCACTGGGCGCCGACCCGAATGCGCTCCTGTGCCTGTGCGCAACTGGATGAGGCGACAGGTTGCGCAGCCTTTCTGCCAATTGGTACCTTTGGTCTTTCCCTCTCCCAGCAAGAGCAGAAATAAACCCCACGGAAATCAAAGGTTGGTCCAGCTACCGGAGGTTCTGTGACATTCGCCGCCTCATTCCCTCCCTCATCCAGTCACAAGCGAGGGAGGGAAGAGGCAGGGATCAAAGGAGCACCGCCTGGGTGAGTTTTCATTAGGAGCGCGTCCTGCTCAGCCGTTCACCTCGGGGAATCAATCATTTCCAGCAGACATTACTCATCTGAGTGACACAAACGGAAGTCTTGACAATGGATGTGTTTGCAAAGAGTCATTTGAATGTGTTGAACGTCCACCACCGCTGAAACCAGGGCACACCAACTAGAAACAGCTGCGTATCTGGCAGTACACATCTAAAGAAAAGCCTGCCCTTGCTGGTGCTCCGTGTCGGTAGGGGGTAGTCACATCGCTTTCAAATAACACCACCGTCCTCCAGTGTGGTGTAAGCGACCACAACTGCTGGGCACAGGGCCCGAGGAAGAGCAAACACAGAAGGGTAGGACAGGGTTCCTGGAGCAGCTCTGTGTCCCAGAGATTGGCATGTAGCTCAGTTCAGTGCTTCAGGGAAAGTGTGCACAAGGGTGAGGGAGCAAGGAGCGGCTTTACCTTGGGGAATCTGGGACCAAGTAGGACCTCAGTTCTCCCCCTCACCAGCTCTTTAATTCCACACTGCTTGGGATACTCCTTAGTCATGCATTGCTTCCTGTCTAGTTCTCTACTCTCCTGCCTAATGCAAGGAGCTCCCTCACTAAAAGATTTTGTATTCATTTTATGGAGGGTGGAATTGTCAGTTTTTACCAGCATTCATCTAAGAGCACTCTGGGAACACCCTTGCCTGCCCTAGAAGGATGGAGCTGTGTTCTCTATCAGTTGTCATGTCTTTCTTTCTCCCCAGCAACGCTCTGCAACCTGCAGCTCCCTGGACTTCTGTTCTGTCCCCAGCTCCACTTTAAAGGCTATATGTAATAAGTCTTGAGGGAGTGGCTTAACCTTGGGGTTTCTATTTTGCTTTGTTTTGGGGGGGGTGGTGTGGTGTGGTGTGTATCTGAGAGCTGGTTGAACCCAGGGCTTCAAGCATGTTGGGCAAACACTCTACCAGTGATCAATATCCCCAGCAAGAACTTACAGGGATTTTGCTCTTGTTTTTGTTTTCATGTGGTGTAAACTTTTCATTAATTAATTGTGTGTGTGTGTGTGTGTGTGTGTGTACTGGCACTCATGGTGGTCAGAGGAAATCTTTCAAGAGTTGTTTCCTTCTTCCCACCACGGGCTCTATCAGGTCTCCTTGGGACGTGCTTTTACCCACGGAGCCAACTCCTCGGCCCTCTGTGGATATTTTTTACATGAAAGGCATATCGTGATATTATATCATTCCTACAAGTGCACCACCCCGCTTAAAATACTTAAAAACTTACCAATATCCTTGAAGTCATTTCATATACTGTCTAATGACAACCTCACCACAGCCAGCTAACTGTGTGGACCATTGCTCATTTCCAAAGGTACATGTGATTGATGCATATGTCCCTCAAAGATATTCTCTGATGGGGATTGGGGGGGCTTCATTTTTCCTTTAGTAGCATGAGATGTGGTTTGCCTTGCGATTTATGTTTTGTCTCGATTTGCCTTTGGTAGGTTTCATCGGTCCTTCTTTTAGATGAGCCATCGTTCATCTGTCTTTTGTTTTGTTTTGTTTTGTTTTGTTTTGTTTTTTTTACTCTTCCCTCATCCTGTGATAGCTTCAGAGCAGCATATAAATGAGAGACTCAAATCCAATGTGTCCATCTGTTTCCTAACTGGTGAGTTTGGTCCATTTCTGTGTGATGCTGTCATGGATCCAAGTCCATTGGTTTGTTGACATTCCCTGGACACTTGGCATCTCTGTTCTATCTCCCACAAGCTGCTCCCTCTGGTGTTCTTTCACTAGAATGTTCTAGAGTCCCGTCATGAGAGCTTTCTCCTGACTTCTGCAAGACTCTGCTCCAAGGTCAGCTTCTCACGGGGGCTTCTCCTGACCATCCTGTCATTTTGCTCCCAAGTTACTGTGTTTCCTTGCCTTTCTTTCTTCCCCTTAAGCAGTCTTTATCACATGGTATGTCTTTTTAGATGCCTTCTCCATAATAGAGACGGGACTGGCAAGCATGAAACTGTATGGGATAGTCTGGAAATAATACAACACTCAGAGACAGATACATGCATTCTATTAGAACCACTATCTGTCCATTAGTTAATATAAATAAAAAATTAATTGCTGTTATGATTCACTCCCAAACAGTTCAGCCTCAGACTGGTGTAACGCCCATCACTCCTCTAGCTCCCTGGCTCCGTAGCCCAGTTGCTTTCTGAACTCCCCTCTGCTGGAGATCATCACTAGACAGCTGAAGCCCATTTTCTTCTCCCAGAACTTGTAGATGGCTGCCTTTGCCTCCTCCATCAACCCATTGGAATCCCTTCTCCCTTGGTCAGAGCACATTTCAGTTCTTCCTTTAGAGGAGGGCAATGGTGGGAAGTGCTTGGTCTTTATTACCCAGCAGCACTTGGCCAAATGGTTCTTTCCTTGGCCCTTGTTTTTGTCCCCAAGAAGTTGGCTCCCTGTCCTTTGTCATTTTTTGTAGATGATTTCACTTTTCTCCTCATTTTATTGTCTTCTTTTCATCACTGGTGTTTTAGGATTTGCCTCAATGTTTGCGATGGTATTTATTTCCCAGCCCCATACCTCAAGTTTCTCCAGTAAGGAGTAATAGTTTTTTATCAGTTCTAGAAAACTCTTGGCCATTGTCTCTCTGGATGTTGAGTTTTGCAATTCTTGCTCTTCTGTCCTGGATTTCTGAAAGACCTGTGACAATCTCCACTGTCTCTTCGTCACCTGACCTTACCTCTCATCTCTCCCCTGGGCCACTTTACTGGTGGCTCTCAGGCCTGATCAATCCATTTTACTACTGCTCTTGAATTCCAATAGATGATTTTGTCAAATATACCAGGACTATTTTTATTTAAGTTTTCTCATTATCTATGTTTCTAATCACCCTTCTTATTCATTCAAGTACTTTTAATGTGATAATTTTATAGTCTGAGTATTACAATGTCTGAACACATTGGCATTTAGTATGTTCCTATCATTTCTCCATAGTTATATTTGTGTATCCTGTTTGCATTTTCTCTTTGTTTTTTAATTTTTTATTGGGTTTTTATCCTGGTAGATTGTACCTTATCCTGCTAGATTGTATCTTTGGGAACTGTTGTGGGATTTCCCTCTGTATGCTTTGAATATGTTTTATCACCATTGGTTAAAAAGAAACTGTTTCAGCCAATGGCTTAGCAGAGTAAAGCCAGGCAGGAAATAGAGAGAGAGTAGGTGGAGTCAGGAAGATGCCAGGTAGCTGCCAAAGGAGAAAGATGCTGGAAAACCTTACTGGTAGGCCACAACCTCATGGTGATACATAGATTAATAGAAATTGGTTAATTTAAGACAGAAGAGCTAGCTAGAAATATGCATGAACCATTGGCCATACAATGTTGCAATTAATATATTTTTATGTGATTATTTGGATCTGGGCAGTCAGGAAATGAATGAGCAGTCCCCATTTACAAGGAACTTTATGAACTCTGAGCTCTGAGTACAGTCCCAGGAAACTGTGATCAACCCAGGACATAACAAAGTTGATTTACTATGGGTACCTTGGGACATACAAAGAAGAATTATACTCCAGAGAAGCACAAGGGCCCAAGACCCCAGAGAAGAACCTGTTTCTTCCTCCTGATCTCAGAACGCCAACACAGCTCTCTAGATTTTCTTTGATAATTTTCTTACCTTGATGTCTTGCTGTATATTCATATAACCCTGCCTCCACTCTCTGAGGTTCTCTACACTCATCCTCCAAGGGTCTATGAGCTCCATCATGTACAGAAATGATTCACACCCATGCCCAGCAGACTTTATTGTGTTCAAAGAGCAACTCCCAAACTTACCGTGAAAGGTTCATTTTTTAGTCCCATGAAGGACCTGCCACCGTAAACAACTCTCCTCCACATAGTGACATTTTACCTCAGCAACAAGTCAAGTCAATTACAACCACAAAGGCTTATTTCTTGTTCATGCAACATTTAGCCTTGGGCTAGCTAAAATTCTGTTCTTCATTCCGTGGTACCTGTTCTACATGAATGTGCTGTCATCCGACCATAGAATGCCATAGCACCTCACACCATTCATTAGCTTGGGTGACCTCAGGGCAACCTTGTCATATGCCTCTAGTGCTTAATTAATCAGCTAGTCATTATGAGGTTTCTTCTTTCGTATTGAAGTGCAGGAAATTCAGAGGGATGGAGGAATTCACAGCACAGCTTTGCTGAAGTAGCATGTCTTACCTCAAATGGTGATAAACACACACAAAAAAAGTACACGAATCGTAATTCTACAAGTCAACAATTGTTCAAGGGTCCTGTAAAGGTCGCTGAAAGCTATACTTACACATCAACTAAAAAATTGCCAAGCTTCACAAAGGGGATGTGGAATTCAAGTCATGCAGAGTGACACAAGCATCTAAAGGGCAGAAAGAAAGACCCCCCTGGACAACGTGGCCCCCTCGGCAGCACCGTTCACACTCTCATCAAGACCCCCCTGGACAACGTGGCCCCCTTGGCAGCACCGTTCACACTCTCTCATTAAGCAA